TCTGTTTTGATTTTCTGAGCAGTTTTATGCTTAGGATGTCTAATTTAACTTCTCAAATTTTTATGACAGTCAGTCCAGTTGTGTAGCCAGGAATTTGAAGAGGGGGGACAAAAAAATTTTATATGGAAAATTCAAAGGGAGGGGGGGAGGTTATGATTTTTTCATAAAATTTCTAGCAAAATGAAGAAATTTCTGTTAACGTCGGGACCCTCCCCCTCCCTGGTTACGCGCCTGAATCAGTCTTTAAACTAAATTGCGGTTATTTTAGATTCTAAGCTAATAGGTTTTATTGGTTGAATATCAGTGACTGATAGCTAATGTGAGACAAAACTTTGTGATCAATTAACATTAAATAGTTCATTCATTAATAATGGCAAACATTTTTCATTCATTTTATAATGAAAACAAAAACTGAAGACAAATGTTCCTTCAATATCCATACAAGTCTGTCCAAATTGTGGTTAAATACAGTTCAAAAAAGAAAAAGCAATGCACAAATTCTGAAGAATATTTTCCGAAACTCAATAAAACATAAAAGAAGTGAGAATTAATTAATTAAATCATCCTTTGATGTTAGCTACAAAGATTTAATTTTGTTTCTTAAAATTTAAGTTTAATTCTAAGGAAAAAAAAGAAAATTTGGCAAAGAAAGTTGATATCAATTAGGGTAATTAATTTTTTCCTTTGATTCATTTTGTTGCTTCGTTCGACTAAGACGTCAATATTAATTTACTCTGGTACTTCCAACTTCCTCTGGAGACCTGTAAAATAATCAATCTCTTACCTGATCAGAACACATTAAATAAAAGCCAGTTTTCACCTTACTACCTACTTACTTCGCTGGTAGTACAGATCAATTGTAATCTCTTTGTTGACGCATATAACTAGCTCTATCGCTGGCTACCGTCTACCAATTTCCAATACCAAGTGCTATACTGTCTCTATCAACAGCTTCTTTTCACTAGTTCTTTGACCGCCCACGTGATCTCTTGCCATCTACGCAGTCAGATTTAAAGACCTTATTTAATGGAGCTTCCACAGGTCTCCTTATAATATGTCCAGCCCATTTGATTCTGTTTAATCCTTTTCAATATATCAGCTTCCTTAAACAGCTGATAAACTTCTGCGTTGCTGCTTATTAAGGTTAATTGGAATCAATATTGTAAAAACTTACGAAAATAAGCAAAATCGTCAAATAGATGCAACTTTTCAAGACACTGTAGTGGCTACATATAAAATGTGTTGTAATCAAATAAGTATCCATCAATGTATACAAAAACTACAAACGATCTCAATTATTTGTAATAAAAAAGTCATTGACCTTTGCAACCCACCCAGAAAAAAAATACATGACCACTAAAGTGCGCTGTAATTACCAATCTCATCATCAACAATGACTTTCAAACTACCATTTTTTTGGGTTTTCTTTCATGCCTTTCTTTTTTTCATTTTTCCATCCTTTTGTCTATGCTTTGTGTGAGTCTTATTCTTTCCTCGTTTTTTTTTACAATTTCTTTCCTTCTTTTCTTCTTGTTCAATTGTGAGAGAGCCTCTCGAGGGTATAGATAAAAACAACAGCAGAAGCAGCAACATCAGCGGCAGAAATGTCAGTAACAAAAGTAAAAGAAAAAAGAAATAAGTTTATTTTTCTAAGATACGACGGAAAATAAATGGCAATGATGAATTTTGCACGTTTCCACTTTTTTAAACAGATTTGTTTACGTCATGAGATCGGACAGCAAAGTGGCTCGTTATGTATACAGGAAGGCAGCAAAAAAAAGGCAATTCTCTAGGGCTAAATTTTAGTAGTTTTTCAATTTATTTTTTTACATTAACCCCTTTTTTCTATGCTTTTTTTTGTGCTGCTCTCTATACAGCCAACATGGGAATATGTGGAGGGGCAGAGAAAAGTTTTCTTTCTTGCTGTATCCATTCTACCCTCCACTTTTATATTATTCTGCCAGGTATTGCTGCTTGCTACTGCTCGCTCAGGCAAGGACATTATTTATGAACATCAGAATCATTTATCAGAAAAGTTTATGTATGAGATAGAGCTCTGTTGAGAATTACATCACATAAAATGAAAGTTATGATGTTTATTGTTTCATAATTTCCACTTCCTAATTGCTCCATAACGACTCGCTGCGTGTGTCACATAAACGACACAAGCACACATTTTTGCGTATTTAAATTTTTTTTAACTTCTTTGTTGCTTCTTGCTTCTTGTTTTTTTTTTGATGCTCGCGCTCGTCATAAAATTTAATTTAATTTAATTTCTCTGCTCGAGGATGAAAAACAATGAGAAGCATTCTTATGAAAAAGGTTACAAGCGTCACAATTGTGCTTCCTTCCAGTTTCTTCGATTTTTATTTTCTTATTTGAGTTACTTAAGTCGGTTATAGACGTTATGGTTCATATTTTCTGTGGATTTTTGAAAAAAGATGTAGTTTATTGAGGTGTTCATTTTGTTCTGTTGGATGGCTTTTGGATCGAACTAAGTTGAGAGTCTAGAAGGAACTAAATTTCTCGGAATTTGAATTTAACAAGTTTTATAATTTAAATTTTTAAAAACCGTTAAAATTTTAACTTTTAAAACGGGTAAAACTTAATTTTTTAAAAGCTGTTGAAATTCAAATTTAAAAAAACCGTTAAAATTTAAATTTTAAAAACCGTTAAATTTAAATTTTAAAAACCGTTAAATTTAAATTTTGATAAACCATTATAATTTAAATTTTGAAAAAACCGTTAAAAACAAATATTTTATAGTTGTTGCTCACATAAATGCGCTTTAGTTCCTTTAGCAACTGCTTAAAGACTTTTCAATTTTACATTCATTTTTATGGAAATTGATTTTTATGAAAGAATGTAAAATTTTGTGATCGGTTTGGTTGATTGGATGAATTTAAGTAATTTACTAGAATCATAAATTTGGGACACATGGCTGTAAGTTATCAAAGAATGCGACAGAACAGAAGCTGCACTAAGTTTTTCTACACTTTATTGCCATGAGAAGTTTGTTTCTCACTAGAAATTTTGGCACGATTCTGAATAAACATTAAAAATATATTTAGAATTCATGGGAGAAATGACCCAGAAAGAATTTAAGATTGCAGAAATAAGTGCTTAAAAAATAAATGGAAAAAATTCTGCATGCAACGATTATTCTTGGTTTATACTTATATGTGTGAAGTCAAGTGATTATTTGATTAATTTAATGGCCTTCCTGGGAATGTACAAAATATTTTAAATTCTGCAAGACTCTGCAGATAGGAAAATAAAGTTCAAGGCCGCAATCATGAAATGTTGCTTTAAAAAAGAATAAATTTATTGCACAGTAAATATCAAAAGTAAAGAAAATTTCTGCTTTTAATTTATTTCTGTGATCCCGAATCTCATTTTTAACCCATGGGTATTTATAAAATAATTCCCAACTTTTTTGCTGTACCCCGAGGATATTTTTTTGATAACGAACAGAAAAGCTCTTTGGAGTTTGTCATGAAAAAATTAAAAATAATAAGTGAGGAGCTAGAATGTCCTCTGTAAATGTCGAGTATGAATATTTGAGCTGAGATGGTTGGGTAGAGGAATGGTTTACTTCATCGGTCCTTAATTGTGTTGACACATCGATCATAGGTTCGAAACTTGGTAAAAAAACAGTTTGTACATTAATATTACTTTTCAGAACTATCAAGAGCTAGAGATTAAAGGGTAAATCGTGCGAAATGACCAGCTTTTTGACTAGAAGCACTGCGATTCAAATTACAACAGACCTAAAATTTATGGTGGAATCCGGACCACTTGCAAGCTCTGCACATTGCAAAGACACGAATAAGTCTATAGACCTGATGTACCCTGCAATCTACCTAGTAACAATTCATGCGCGCAAGATGCCGTAAGGAAGTCATCCAGATACTAGTATATCCTTGTATACCTAGCAAAAAAGGCACGTTATGAGCCAAATATCATAAAACAACACCGAACACACGAACAGAGCTTCGTAATTAGAACGGTGAAATGGAAAAAGAGCTTCTAAAATTTGACTTGACCTGGGATTGAACCCAGAACCTTTGGCACTTAAGGCCACTGATGCCATTTCACTGCTGAGATAGAGATTAAATTGGACGTAATTTTATACTAATGAATAAATAGGCCGTTATCTTTTAGACCTAGATTCAGTTCTTTATCCCCCCTGACTCTGCAAATCCGTGAAATTATGCGCTTTAACCAATAACCAAACCCCAAAATCATCTAGCTTAAATTGTTTAATTTATTGTAGTAAAAAAACCCAAAAAGGTTCTTTCGAAGAAATCAGAATTATTCAGGAAATTTAATAAAGAAAAGAAAAAATTACTTGTGAAGCTCAACGATTCAATTTTTTTTGTGTGCTCCTTAATTTTTTTTTCCATTTTCCTTATTTCATTTTGATTTGAGAGGTTGTGCCAAAACAATAAGAAGCCAAAAAGAGCACCGAAAAAATAAAGTTCAATAAAAATGCTTATTTTTTTGTGATGCCATAAAACGTCAGCAAGCTAGTCATTGGATCCATAGAGGAGAATGAGTAAGAACCGAAAATGCATAAACGAAAAAATATTATTATTCTTATGTTTACACAAAACGATTGATCTAAATCGATTTATGTTGTTTCATGCAATTCCCTTTTTTTATGCTTTATTTATCATAAAAAAATTTTTCTTCTCATTGCTTCGTGTAATTTAACGCCTCGAGCAACGTCCTTTTTATTTGTTTGTGAAATTTAAAGCTACGTAAAAACGTAGAGTCGTACGTAGACTCTCTCAGATAAAATTTCAATGCCGCTCTCAGCTCTCTCTTTCTCATTTGTGTAATATTCTCATATGTTTTCATATCCAACCAGTCCTCGCAGTAAGACAACACACAACACACAAAGTAGTAACGTTAGTTTGTGACGAATGGTGAAGCAAAGTAGACGTGAATTTTTTTATCTCGCACATTATAAAAATATTGAAAAAAATACTAGAACATAAAAAAGTATGTGGAAAAAAATAATATTTCGAGAATATGAAAAAATGTTACACGAAGTGAATGATAATAAAAATTAAGAAAAAAATAATTTTTCGGTAAAATCAGATAAAAAAATAAAGTGATTTTGCATAATTAATCGAATTAAAAATATAAAAAGGAGAAGATTTTTTTTTTATTTTTTGTACAGTGAAAAAAACTTATAATTTTTTTTTTGCCTGAGTCGAGCAAAAAAAAGGGTAGACCAGAACAATTTAATTTGAAATTATCTGAGGATTAGTGATGAGAATCGGATTAATATTTTAATATTTAAAGGTAATGCCGTCATGTTATAAATTTTGTGTGTGTGTTCTGGAATTTTTAAAATTTTCATGAGGGTTTAAAATTCATTAAAAAAGTTTGAAGAGTCCTCGTAAAAAATTATTGCGGAAAACTTCAAAAATTTTCATATCAAACTTTAATAATTCTCAAAAATGAAATAGAATTTTTTTGAGTCTTGAATGATTTATTATGCTTGAAAGGAAAAATTCTATTTTTTTATAAAGAAAAATCCTAAGCTGTAAGCTCCTTCCGTAAAGTGCTGAGAAGAAGAACCATCTTAATTAAAATTCATTAATTACTTTGTAAAGTTTTTCACATTTTCCTCGAAGTAAATTGAGTAAGTTATCATAAGTAATTTTTCCTTAGTCTCATTCCGTTTTTGAGTCTCACACAAACTCGTGCTCGCTTAAAGTCTTATGGTAAAAATATTCAACATTAGGGAATTTGTGTCAGAATTTTAATTATGTTTTCTTTAAGATCCACTTCTCTTCCAATTTCATCTAATTTACTGACATTTCTCTTTCATTTTCGTCTATCCTTATTTTAAATTAGAAGCATTGAGTTTGATGGATATTTTGTTTTGATTTGTGAGGTGCGTGACGCATTTTTCATGACGTAGTCAGCAAATTTAAAATTTCAAAGCTTAAAAAATCACTCGATTAATTTTTATCGTATGTTTAAAGTTGAAAAATATTCAAATACAAAAAATCGCAGCAATCATAATTTTTTCAATCAATTTTTTTTTTGTTGATAGAGAAAAGTTGCAAATTCATCAAAATCTCAATAAAAAAGTTTAATTAAAGTGATTTAAAGTGTAACAAACCTCTTCAGTTCAGAAATATCCATCAGCAGTGAAAAGTCAATAAATTTTAATCAATTTCATCATATTTACCGGTTTGTTTACATAAAAGTGTAACATTTAACATTATTAACCAAAATCTTGCCGCAATCTGCATTATTATCATAAAAATTGAATTATTCAGCATTTATTTTGACTCTGGGTTATAATCAGGCAAATTTCTCATGCCTACAAAAACAAAAAATATATTTTATTGATTTTCAAAGGAAAACAAACAAAAAAAATTTTTTTTCACGTGCTCAGCAATTCAACAAAACAAAAAGCCAAAGTGCTGTTAACAAAAAAGTTGAAGTATTTTCTCACAGAAAATCGTGCGCCAAAATATATCATAAACGATAATTATTAAGAGGCACAAAGAAGAAGTAAGCGAAATAGAAACAGGTAAACACAAATCAAAATCAAAATGAAATTCTCGTTCTTGACATCCGAGGAAGTTTATTTACCGAAAAAATATAAAATAAAATATTTTCAACATCTCCATTTACGGTGTGGTGTGAGGATGATTTTGAAAGTCTAACATAGAGATGAAAATGCAATAAGAATAGAAATATTTTTTATTTCGGATGAATTGATAAAGACATTACTATTAGTCGTAGACACAACATGCCTTTAGGACACACGATGTTTGTTAATAAAACAGAAAGTAAAAGAAAAGGGATCACGGATAGAGAAATACAGAGAACAAAAAATTTAAACCGTCTTTATTGATCCAAATAGAAAAATAGAGAAAAAAAATATCTGAAAATAGTCGAAAAGAAGAAAAGGAAAGAATTTGACATGTTTACGACATTGCATGAATCTGTTTCTGAACCTTTGAATTCGAGTATATATGTAAGGATAGAATAATATAAAAATACATATTTTCAGCATAGAAAAAAAAATCAATAAATAATTTCTTTCTCTCTTCACTTGTTTCCAAATTCAAACTGTCTGCGATTCCGAATTGAAATTGTAAGGAAGCAAGTAGCAAGAATAAGAAGCATGAAAACATTTTCTCTTGCTGTTACTGCTTACAACTCTCTACTGAATCGTAGAAATATCTTTATTATTTACATTACTTCACCGAGTGCTTAGAGATTTAAATTATGATGGTGGAATAGATAGAAAAGTTTTAGCCGAATTTTTTTTTTTATTCTTGAGGAGATATGCAAAAGGAAAAGTTTGCGACAGCTCAAAAATCCTTGAAAGATATTTTATGAAAAATGTTCCGGATGAATTTAATTCCGAAAGGCAAAGAGATTAAAAACTGTGCATAAAGTGTCACCTCAATTGAGTTATGATGAACCAGAGAAATTGAATTTGCTGCTGGCCAGCAGATATAACTTCTGGATGGGTTCAGTGGCTTGTAATTTAACTTAAAAGTATTATCGCATGCTAATCTGGTGACGGTTTTTGTGAATTGAATCAGTCTTGTATGATGAGGCTTTATTTTGCATTATGAAGTTCCATATATTACATTTATTAGGTATCATAGCAATATAGACTTCCATGCTGGGTTAATATGTAAGCGGATTATGATTTAGACGATTTTATTATAGAAGAATCCTTTGAAATTCCGAAGAATTATTTCCTTAGGAATAATCTGTGAGAATAAGATGTTATATTGTAGTACAAAGATGATTGTCCCGACAAACAGGTGTGATACATATTTTATGTGAAATGCTTGCTCTATGCTGTATCAGTTTATCGATTTAGAGTGAGATTTTATGGTATTTTGAAAAATTTTAATATGAAAACTTTACTATATTCAATAGATGCATAAATGGTTCTTTCTAGTAACTTTCTAAGGTATCTTAAACCTAATACGACGAATAAGATTTTCAAGTCAAGAAGTGACAAAATCTAATTATTATTCGCGCTCCAAAAACACCTTTTATCTTCAGTGAATTATTTCTGGGTGATTCTCCAGCGGGAAAAACAACCAAAAATCACTTTCAAATTGATTTTTCTTTAAATTTTCCCACTAAAGCATGTTTGTTCTTAATTAAAACAGATGTATTTTTCCAAATTATATCTCTTGAAGTCATTTAGAAATCATTAATTAGCTTAAATCATTAGTTTTTTCAATATTTTTAAGCGTTGCTCGGCAACCAAAAATGGAATTCAATTACGAAGAATCAAAAAATTACTATCAAAGAAATATTTTTATTACACTTAATACATACTAAATGGTAGAAAATCTTTAGTTTTATCATATTTAATTAACACATCTTTGAAACTTTCAGTAGTTTATTTGGCACAAAAATGTTAATGATCTAAACTTTATCTTATAATAATCATTAAAATGCATATCAATTAAGTTTTCAACCTTCAATTAACCATAGAACCAGAAAAAAAAGGTTTGAAACCAGAGATCGAAGCCGATTTTTTCGGCTTAACAAAATTTTTGATTTTTTTGATAGAAAAAAGCTATTTAACACACATTTCAAGTATTTAAATTGAACTTTACATGCTTTACTATGATTCTGTGTAATATTTTGTCAGCATGTAGCAATAGGAAGCTCAGAATTTCAATTTAGCCGATTTTAAGCCGATCGGCTTAAATTTCGGCTTAAAACTCTTTAACTTGAAATTCTGAGCTTACTATAGCTACATGCTGACAAAATATTACACAGAATCATAGTAAAGCATGTAAAGTTCAATTTAAATACTTGAAATGGGTGTCAAATGGCTTTTTTCTATCAAAAAAATCAAAAATTGATGAAAATCACTTTTGAAAAATTCAATTCTTCTGGAGAATCGCCCTTCTACAACCTCAACAACTACTATTGGCTCAGTTCAGGTTCATATCGTATTCGAAGAGTCATTTGAATTAGTCAAAAAAGTGCATTATTTACAGCTTTTGAGTTTAACATGTAATCAGTCTGCGTATGCGTTACTAAGAACAGTACTCATAAAAGATCCCTCAAGCTGTCAGTAATGAATGCATGAAACTGCTCCTTTGTGCTGCTGAATGTAAACGATTTAGGCTAGAACAAATCCACTTCCAAACATTAAAACGTAGCCATTAAACTACGATTTACATTACTTTTGAATCGGTTATTATTAGCGAGAAGCCAATTGTGCCTTTTGCAGGCAAGAGACAGGCAATCGTCGATTAAAATTCAACAAAATAATTCCAATTCTAACATATTCAAATCAAATGACATTACACAAGCGAATCTCGCTATCATTATTATTTATATAACTCCACAATTCATTGACCTAGAAAGCTAGCTCCAATAAAACTAATAATTATGAAGGACACCAAGGCAAAGCACTACCCAATACCTACCCCAAAACTGCACCAAAAAACACATTAAATCCACATTCTTTTTCATAAATTGACGAATAAAATAAAAACATAGAAACAAAAAAAAATAATTTAATGAACAAAAAAAAAATGATGGAAAATAAATCAAGGGAGAAATATGAGAAAATGGAATCATTAAAATGTAATTAAGACATTCCGATCCGATCTAGGGTTAGAATTATACTGAAAGCAGGTCATGAAGTAGAGCGGAGAATAGAAAAAAAGTATAAAATAAAAAAATGAAAATAAATAAAAAATTAAAGGAAGAAGACTCCCCAGTTGCAGAACAGAACAAAATAATAAAGCTTGAAACTTTATCCAATGAATTATGAATTTGCGGATGAAAATTTTTGGATATTTGCTGCACATGTTCAAGCAATTATAATTTAATGGATATTACACGATTAGGATGAAAAAAAAGGAACAAGTTTTTTTTCTACTATTTTGCTATTATTTCTCTTTCGGGTAACCCTCAAAGGATAGATGAATGAACGGAGAATTACGATCTGAATTTAGTTTAACAAATATCTTTTTCACTTTAAAACAATTCACCTATTATACGTATGGTATAAGCATACTTGTGTGTGGGGAGGCACTAGACTGTAAATACAAAAGACTACAATGTTGATGATGATGATAAATACATCTACGTTGTTTAGTTAAATGGGTAGTTTTTTAAGGTATTTTAAACTTTAATAGCATCGTCAGGTGTACATATATGAAATATTATTTGTATACAAACTTTCTATATGTGTGTGACCACACAAAACACAGAAAAGCCAGCATGAAGACGTTAATACAATAAAAAAAAAAACACGGAGAAGTTTAAGGCAGGAGGAGATA